ATATTGGAATGAAGATATTCCAATTCTCGTATTAAGTGTGTTATTGTTCCCATTGTGGAACCGTTCACAATGGAAGACATTCCAATTCTGAAAGTGAAAAAATAAAACCGAAACATTTAATCCGTTGCATTTGAAACGCGGAGCTCTCTTTGAATAAGAGAATTTTCATTTGAAATAATAGAAATAGTTTGCCTCAAGACCAATGCGCATGAATGATTGTATCGTTGAACAAAAGGAATTTGCATATCGAGAATAAAAATGGTTAAAAGTAAAACTGGTTCTTATTCACAGTCGCGCACCATTTAAATTTTTCAAATGAAGCAGCAACGCAAAAACTCTTTTTTCATTCTCAAGCACAAATGTTTTGACCAAATGAAACGACGCACAATTGTTATATTTTTCATTTAACTGGTTTTTCTTTTACGTTCAATTGAAAGTACTTATGGCCGTTCTTTATTCACTTTATTAGGTGCGACAATAAAAAAGGGGCTATTAGACATGACTTTGAGCCATCGTTTTTTTCATCACAATTTTTGGGTTATGCAAAGGAAGACGATTGTTAAATAGCAATAGCCACATTATGCGAATATACATTGTTGCATTGACGATGATTCAAACGGAAGTGCTTGGTATTTTTGGTTTGACAAATTTGTATGGTCTTGTGGCCACATGGACTACTTTATGCTCAAATAACGTCAAACACATTCGGCCGGGGCCCGGTTTCAAGTCAACGACATGGTTAATTCATATTTAAATTCTGATGCGTCCAAACAATGACCGAATTTCGCATACTTTTCGCTAAGTGAGATTTATGAGCGGTTTTTTGTGTTTATTTTGTTCTAATTCAAACACAAATATAATTTGCTTACAGCCAGATTATTTGGTGTAATTTTTTTCTCTCACTCTCTCACATCCGACATCCTGTGCATTATTTGCCAAAAAATTGGTGAGCTCAGCCCATAATTTGGGTGACACAAAGTTGACGAAAACGATTTACTTTAATCGCTTTCCTTCGGCAGATTCATCAACCATATTCGTTTTCTTGAGAATTTCAATTTTCCAAACATTTTAGCACAAACAATGGAGATGTGTTTTTAAAAAACAAAAAAGGATACTCGATCCACATATGGAAAGAGAAGTGATTTTCAATTGCTTAATTTTGGACAAAAGAAAAAAAAAATACGAAGAAAGAATTGTTTATCCATTGTTCTTTGATGAGCGCAATTTCGGTGTGTTATTTTCTTAAAAGAAAACTTCACTCTCTTATATCAGATATCAATGAGGTTTGGAATTTAGATCCGTTTAAATGATAAGAATTAATCGATCTACTGAATCGGGTCGTCCTCATCTTTCGTTCAAACAGGCGTTCATTTTACAAACAAAAACATTTAGTCTCTTACACTTAATTTGCTTTACTTTCTTCCGATATGATATCAAATCCGATTTCAAATATCAAATTCATTGGTATAAATCGTCGGTAGCCATGACTATGTTCACAGCGTGTCAAAAACAAACTAATCTTTGACCAATGATCCATATTCAGTTCATTTTTTTTCGCACACAGCGGAGTAGATTTACCGAATTTTTAGCATTCTTTTCTAGTGCGTTTGATCCGTTGTGTTTATGTAGTCTAAACTGTCGCTCACGTTACAAGCAATCCCCGACAAAGAAGTTGATTTTGTAAAAGGCTCACGTTATTTGAAGCTAATTCACAACATATATTTTTTTTGTGTCGTGTCCATTGAATCAAAAATCTAATGGAATAAAAACCGACCGGAGCATGCATTTTTTTACCTTGAAAAGAGATGATTTTTTTGGGTACTGATGTTTTGTTTTTTTTTTTTCACGCAAATGTGCGTAAATGCGTAATACGGTGCAAGATGAGAATATTAGACGCAATCTATACACCATATGGATTTTGAAGTGAATTTGATCCAGTAAACACCTACATCATTGTTAATAAAAACTAACGATTGGCCGCCTTTTTGTTTGGAGTTTTTTTCTTTGCTTATTCTCTCAGCTGAACAAATTTAATGCAACACAAACAAAAATTGGATCAATTAGAATGAATTAAATCGGCAGAAAGAAGAAAGGAATACGGTGCGGAAATGAAAATTACAGAGAAAACTTTATTGAATAAAACGGTAAGCTAATATCAAATCGTGTATGACGTTCGAATATAATCCGATTTGAAAATATCGTGAGCTCATAATCTAAAGTATTGGCACTATTTAATGCCAATGTATTTAAAAAAATCGATCGATAAGCTGGACAATTGTGTTGACCAAAGGCCGATTCTATCGGATTTGATCGAAATCAATAAAACTGAAATGTTTTTTATTCAATTCTGAAATCACAATGTGTATCGTTGTAATTTACCGAATTTCAAACTTGACCTTTTTTGGCCAAAAGATTTCTTTCTTTTTTTATTCAAAGAAATTACCTTTTTTGCACTCTCAATGATCTCTTGAAATTCCATTTTGTTAGGTTTATTCAGCACTTCATAATTCGATGCAGTACTGAAATGCGTGAAAAATGAAAGAGGGAAACGGGTCCGGAGGATGCAGAGGTATTCAACCTCTTCATTTAATCAAATAAACGCGGCATTTTCATGACAAATTAAATTGATACCGTGTCGTCTACCAGACAAGTCTCTCAAGAACTATCTCTCTCTCACATTGAATGGCATTTGGGCATTCAAAACTGTGAATAGTAACGAATCCGTTTAAATTCTTACCTCTATTTTTACTTGTTGTCATTTTATCATGAAATATTAAACTATCTGATGAAAATAGATTCAATGAAAGTTGAGATTACGGTGCGGGAACTATATCATTTCTAAGGATGCACATTAAAAAAAACAACAACGATGGGATATTTGGTTAACGATTTGGCAAACCTATGGGAGTTTCGATATTTCTTTGTTGTGTATTATTTTCTTATACAACTATGGTGGCTTGTTTTCTTTCGATCTAGAAACTGAATGTGTAAATCGCTGACTGAGTATTAAAAAGGGTTACCCAAACAGATACGATTACTACCGTATTGATGTATCAAAAAAGCCCTTTTTTGAGCTGTGCTATCACGTCATATCTAATTTCATATAATAAAATTGTGAGGTGATGGGTTGCTTGAAAATTCCATTTCAAAATGTGCTAATGTAGTGTTCACGCTTTTTACATCCGCATATGATCTCATTAGACAGGAATATATGTTTATTTATTTATCAAGTTTGCATTACAGCAGGTAACAAACGGTAACAAAGCACAGAATGAAATGGCAATGAAAAGGACTTGAAATGCGTTTTGAACCTTAAAATTGGCCATAATTTAGGGTTAAATATGAACAATATTAGGTTTCTCGAACCGTAAATCACACGATATTTTTATGGATTTCTCGTGTTGTTGGCGTAATTCATGCATACATGAAAAGCAAATTGTAAGCGTGGTGTGGTGTGCGTGGCTAACCCGCTTTGGTTTTCTATCGTCAACGCAGGTGAAGACAAATTAAATCCGATTTAAACCAATTTTAAGATGTAATTTAAGGTGTAATACATCGAATAAAAGGGCAAAAGAGGTGATTCGAATTATATTTACTCGTGTCATCTGTTTTATCAATCTGAAAGTGAAACCATCTGACATATTCGTGAGCGTGCAGCAGTTGTGTAATGAGCATTCATCGATTCAAACCAAAACAAGCGAGATTACAGTCTCTCGGCCATGCGGTGCTCAAATGACGATTTGATACAATTTTTAAATGGTGAACCGACGACAAGTCGCTCTGCATGACATTTTATTTTCTCGGTTACAGTAGTTTATCTCTTCGTACATCTCGCACAAACGATTCTTACGTCATGCTGATTGCCTATTTGACAATTTTTTTTCTTCTATTTACCGTTTTTCAATACATTATTAACTTACACTCAGACCATTGTCGCACAGTACAGATTTCACTTCTACAGCACTGCTCCGTTGTTTAATAGTAATTTCTCTGTATCTGTTCTATGTTCATCTTTGTTGGTTGTGCGATAAATTATGACGATGATCACCCAGCAGTCTCGGCTGGATTCGGATTGTGTCCGACCAGAAAAGAAAAGTGTAATAAAGATAAAAATGAAGAACAATCGAAAATTTATCTGTCAGTCGATGAATGAAAAAAAAAAATGCCGATCATGTCTTTATTTTGAAGGAAAGAAGGTAAGAAATCTGTTCTTTAGTCAAATTGGGGTGAAAGTCAATGAAAACACCTTTTCGATAATAATCTCTTTCGTTAAAAATGAACGACTTTTTAATTGTAAGCACAAGACCATTCGCGATTCAATACCAGTTATAAATTCATGGCCACGAATCAACCGATCAATAGTTTGATTTTAAATTATTGTTCGAAGCGAAAAAAGGTCCGTTTTGTTATTGTTGAAAACACATTGAAGCCCTTCAATACACATAGGTTTTTTTTTCGGTCGTAACAATGAAATTGTCACCTTTATTCATGGTGAAAGGATTTATTTTAACAATCTCATTAAATTCAAATCAACGATTTTTGATCGAATTACTATTTTTTGAATGAAAATCAGTCGCATGAGCTCCATTAATTTTTGGGTTTATTTTTTAACGATTATCCTATGTTTTTTTATTCAAATTTCATTCATAAAATAGAGAAAACGAAAGGATTTTATTGCTTGTTTTCATTTAATCAATTTTGTTTACAAGATTTTCACCTTTTACCTTTGTTCCATCAAGATGGAAACAAAGTCGAATGATTTTTCATGAATTGACTTTCATTCGGTAAAAACGACCAATACTAACTTATGCAGTGATAAAAGCGAACGATACCCAACAGACTTTTTAGATGATTTAATAATAAGAGAAAAATGGTCTTTATTTTGGCATCTGCTATCAATACAATGAGCTTCCTAAATTTTTCATTTGAATTCACGCACCTTCGTATCATGAATCATTCTTCGGTGTCTAAAATGTCCCTTTCATTTTCGGTGAACGAATTTCCCCTTTAGCTTTTCTAGAAAAAATCCCAATTAGATTTTCCGTTCAAATTCAAATTTCATTAGCCGTCTCCATTTGGATGGTGACGCCATGTGAGATTTTCCAAATAATCTTTGTTTTGTTCCAAAAAGTAATTTATTATTCACATAATTTCCTTTTATAAAAACAATGAAATTTTCGTAAAGAAAATATATTTATTCGCCTTAATCCACCTTAATCACTGCACAAAATATCAATCAACTTCCCAACAACAGCCACATTAATGCTATTCCCTAAAACGCGATATTTTTGTTTGTTTGTAGTATCAGTTGGAAATGAAAATTTATCGGGGAAACTCATGAGTTTTGCCACTTCGAACGGCATGAAATATCTTAATTCAAGTGTTTTTAATTTCGCTAATTTTTCGTCTGATGATAGGGAGTCCTTTTGAATATCGATGAAAACATCATCCAATTGTTTTTTACTAACCGGACAAAAAACGGATCCGGTGCCTTCGGCGTAGTGTGTATATGCCTTTGTGAAACATCTCGTATTTGTTGATGTTGGATGAACGATGTCCAAAAGCCAGGCTCGTTTCGATAAAAGATCGTCTGATAATAAATAGTCTAATTTACCTTCATTTACATTTAGACCGGACAAAAATGAGTCAACCGTCGGACATTCAAAAACTTCTTTTTTATTCGGCAGTTGTTCCAAAATCGAATTGGTCTTAAATGAAAATGGCTTCTTTTTCCTCGCCAAGCAATAGTATCGATAACGTGTATTCGGAACACCAATTTCAGTTGGACTCAATAAGAACTCTTGATATTCAAAACCCGATGCTTGCAAAGCTTCTATGTACAGGTCACGTGCTTGTGAAGTCTCAAATCCTTTCACATTTTCCATGAGAATGTAGTCGATTGCAGTTAGTTCAGGAAGAATACTGCAAATATGCACCAATGCATTCGATCGAGCATCGTCTACGTCTTTCTTGTTTCCAACACGGGTGTACTGAAAACATTATTCAAATTATTTACTTTGAACTGAAAACATTATTCAAATTATTTTTCAATATTACCGGTTGGCATGGCGGTGACATTAAAATTGCATTCACATCCATTTTGTGGATTTCTTTTGGTGTAAACTTTTGAATATTATTATTCAAAACTTTTGTATCACGATGATTGTGTTGGTACACTCGATTTGCTGTTGTGTTTATATCGACGGCAGCATGGATTTCACCCGGAATTCCACTTGCTAATCGAATATAAAAAAATTATTGAAACATGTTTAATATTTTTTTTAAAAACGTGACTTGATTTGCCTTCTAAAGCATAGTGCATGCCACCAATGCCGCTGAATAGCTCCAAAACTCGCAATTTTACGTCTTTTTCCATTTATTATTATTATTTAAAACTCGCAATTTTATTCAAATAAATGTAAACAAATCGAGTGTCAAACGTGTAAACTTTTGCAGAAAATGAGGTTAGGTTTTGACATTGCGATATTTGCCACTGTCATATGATTTCTGTTTTGAAAATGCGATGTTCTCAGATAAGATTACCTGAATTGATTCAAATTTAAATGAAAAAAAAGGTTCAAGAGTAAAAACATACAATTTGTGAATTTTTGCTCATAATTAATTGATAGCTAAGTTTTGTCTCCTGATTTTGAGTGCAACAAATGGTTAGCGCACAATGAATCCACTTAAAAGTGATAAAAAAGAACAATAATTAATTCATTCTAATTTATTTTCCATTCTTAAGCAATAATTGTCTGGTGTCAAAGTTGTTTGGCAGAAGGGAAATCACTTGACTTACAATGCATCCACCGTTTATCTCTGTAAATAAATCGGATTGGTCGGATTTCATCTTTTCCTTGAAAACTAGATAAATAAATAAAACACTTTTATTTTTTTATTAAATAATTTATTCCAAATGTATTTTCACTAGTTTCGGGGCAATTGTTTATGCGATGTTCGTTCATCAAAATATTGTATGCGTCTTACTATTAAACATTTATTTATATAAAAACGTCTATTACATTTTCATTTCACCTAAAATACATCGATTGAAAATACAATTCTATTATTTAAAAAAAAATAAGCCCTTTCAAAATCTATGCCAACAATTGATAATAATATAAATTTTGATGTCTAATTGCTCTGTCTAATACAATTGGACTCTGTTTATTTGAATCATTCAAATAGGAAAGTTCAAATTATTGGAGTCAGACCGTAGTTTTGAATCTTGTATGTTCGACCTTCATTTGCAATGGATATCAAATGAAAATGAAACACACTAAATATTATTAAACATAAATTATACAATTTTGTTTTTTAAATCTAAACAATTGAAATATACTCGTTTTTTAAATATATACTGCATAATTGCCAATAGAATTTAAATAGTAATTAGCCGTTTTGAGATATAAATAACATATAGAATAAGTGCAATGATCTCATGATATTACAATTGTATATAGTTGTTCTCTATTTTTCTCTCTCTCATTCTTTCGTTCATTCATAATTATTTCTTAATTAAGCTTGTTCCGTTAAATCGATCACTCGATTTATGTATGTGTGTATGCGTACCGATAATGATTAATTATTATTAAATAAATTTAGCATTTACTACGATAGTCATGGGCATGATTATCAAATCAAATCAAATTGCATTTCTTAACGAAAAAAGAAATTATAAATGATTGGTAAATAGTACGAAGTACACTAGCTTTATCTAAACAGTAGATATATTAAATAATTGTGAAATGTGATGAAAAAGCAGAGTGAAGGTAGAATACTCTTAAAATTCTTTTGTGAAAATACAAATTTTGATAAAAAAAATTTCTATCGCGATTGGGTTTCGCTTAACTCAGCACAATTTCAATATTTCCTAACAAAAAAAAGTGTCGTATTTTTTGGCTTTTGAACAGTAATCGAAATTCTCTCATTTAAACATTGAAATCAAATGTCTCAATATACAATTGACTAAATTCTACGAAAAAAACGGGTTAAAATTAATATATGATATATGTGAATTTAAAAATGTCTAAACCTTTCGGTCGAATGAACTCGTGACTCATAAATAGTTTTATATATAGGAACACTTTCGAGTTGATTTTCATTTCTATGAGTCTTGTTGAATAAAAATGTCGGTTTGCATTGAGAATGTTTGTACGTGTGCCATTAACACCATTCGCGCCTATTATTCATGTCACATGAATCATGTGTAGATTCTAATTTTGGTTTATAAAGCGAGCCAAGGATGATTTACGAGCGATTCGCGTGTCCGATCACCATAATCATAAGTCAACTCCTCGCCCTCTTTGATATTCTCTTTGGCAATCAATACCAAATGTGGCCGATTTTTATAAGTTACAATTTTCGTTACAAGATTTCCGTTACGCGAATGATTGACGAGACGCCCCAATTTACCGGTTTCGGCTGTTGCATCAATGCTGCAAATAAAATCACGATTATTCAAATAGTTTTTCATTTAAATTTTTGAATTTGATTCTCTTCAATACTAACCACCACTGTTGTTCCTTGTGTTTAAAATAATACATATAGCACCCAAAAGCAGCGTCTTTTGCATAAATCTCTTCGCGCCGATCGGCTTCGTTTTGTTCAATTAAATCGCCAATATATTCAATAACAAATTCGCCACGTGCAAATGGGCGTCCAGCGCAAATTCCACGACCTTTTTCCTTAAAATATTTAACAACTAAACCATCCTCACATTGTTGTTCGATTGCCTTTTCGATGTACCTCAAATGCTCTTGCTCGACGGCCTTTTTCGTTTTGCGAATGCTGCGCCGAACCGGAAAGAAATCAGTCATTTGCTTTGATTGCATTGGTTTTTGTAGTGGAGTTGACGAACGCGATACCATCGGCTTCGGTGTAGAACATTTTACAATTTGAACGTCATTCGGTTCGATTATGATCGCTGACATTTCACAATCAATATCATTTTTCGATTCATCTGTTATTAGATTTTCTTCGGTTTTAGTATCTTCGGCGATTTTTGCATCGACCACTGCGGTAAGTTTTGTGAAAAATGACTTGGCATCGTTGATCCTTGGACTGAAAATTCAAAAAAAAAAGACCTATTAACATCAAAATTGACAAGAAATCATTATAAATAATCGTACCTTTTCGGTGTTTGTTTTCCTCTGGCCCGTTTGACTGTTGGCCGTTTGACTTGATTCATTCGATTCAGAATGTTTGACGCTGGCGAACATTTCCCTGGCGTCTCTTCGTGTGTTGGTGTCGATGTTGTCGACGGACATACAATGCGATGTGGCGTTGTTGGTTTATTGCCATCCGTGGAATTCAATTCGAATGATCTGTCACTAACCACGCCACTATCACATGAATTACTATCCGAATCAATAATTGCATCGATAAGTGCACCATTATTATCAATTGCCCATCGGCTTGCGCATTTACGTGGTCGACGCTTTCGTAGCCGTGGTTTGCCGCCACCTTTTGTCTTTTCACCTTTGACAATCGATTCGTTTGGTGTGTGCCTATCATTTTGTTCGGCGCTTGATTCATCCTCCGATGATTTATTTTGTATATTATTGGCAGTGTTTTGCACGGAGATGTTATTGGCAAATGCCGGAAATGATGTGGCAAAGTTCGGACCAACCACTTCCAAATGCTTGTTGATAACAATTGATGAGGCTTGATTTAGTGATTTATCAATGTTCAAATGAAGCACCGGTTTTTGTAAAAAAATATTTGTGTGTTGAATACTGTTGGTAGTGGTGCCATTGGTGTTTTGGTCATTTTGATCGTTGTCGCCATTTATCAAGCACACATTGTCATTTTTATTCGCGTTATCGTTTTCATTGTTTGTATATGAAGACAATTCCTCATTGTCTTCGTTTATTTGGGCCAATTGGTTGTCGGTGCCATCGTTGTCGCTCAATTGTTCTGCATTATTGAATGCATCGCATGCATTCTCATCGTTATCGCTTCCAAATTGTGGCGAATAAGTATTTGCTTTGAGTGTACGTTGAAAGAATTTTGTGATTGCTTGATTATCGAATTGTTTTTGAATTTTATGCAGTGATTTTCTTAGATTTCTTGTTCGTTGTGTAATCGTTTCGATGGCCACCAAATTGCTCACATCATTCGTTGCCATTTTCCCTATGGGCTTTAAATCTTTCTTCGTAATGGCAGCGGTTACTTTGTGTTGACCTTTTGCGGTAGCAGCAATCCGTGGTCGTCGCCCTACCGAAGAGATAGAAAAAAAAAACAAAATATATCATACGTCAATCAAAATTACTTTCTTTCCGAAAATGAATTGGGTGGTGGATGGCACACACGTCATTCACACTGTAAGTATTACAGCGCAACAAAAATGAGATAAAAACCATAAACCATTACCGAAACAACAAAACAAATCAAACGTGCTACAAGTGTAATCAACCAACAATAAACGTATTCGACTGTACGAACGTAATATGAGAGTGTTTAGTGTGAGTAAGAAGCGAAAAAAATACATCAAATGTAGGCCATAGAAATGCAATGAGTGAATGAACTCTTTAGTCACCATGGTTAAATATCCGCTCATTCACTTCTCATCAAATGTGAATTCGAAATAAATAGAGAGCGCAAAAGAGACAGAAAAACACAAACAAAGCCAAGCCAACTCACACAAACGGGATCAAATTGCACATAACGCTCACTCGCACATTGTATGGAGCTTGATCGTTACAGCTCGGGCACAGCAATCAACAACATAAATTTATTTTGCAAATAAAAAAAACCGCAAAGTATTAGAAGCAAGATGAAGAAAAAAAAAGAAAAGTGCTTCAAATGTATTGTTGATGTTATGAGCGCGCGTGCGCACATACACACGAAATAGAAAAGCAATAAAACGCGCAACGCTTTTTCTGCGCTTTATATTTTTCATACTCTCGCATTCGTTTGATGAATTTTTCTCTTCTTTCTTATTGTTGTTGGTGTGTTTTACTTTTATATACGTTGATTGGTGGTGCTGCTGCTACGCTCGCAGCGGATTTGTTTTGCTTTCGACACATTTTGCGGTTTTTTTCTTTTCTACTGCTGCGAACCAGTATCGACTTAAAGGCCAAGCTATCTATTTGTGTATGTAATAGCACAACTCATAGAAACCGCGTTATTATGGCTTGCTTGTGTGTAACATAGAAGCGCGTAAAAACATCAACAATCAATTTGATCGCGAATGAACAATGAGCAGAAAAAAGCAAAATGGGCAAAAATCGAAAGCCTCATAGATAAAAAAAATATATCGACAAACACTCACATTCGCAATGCATTTGAATTTTGTAGCAAGGCAGAATGAAGTCTCGTGTGCTCACCAAATGCTTGCTTTAAGCACATGATCTCGATTTTATCGTCAACTGATCAATCGATCGTCGGCTATTGCAATCGTTTTTCAAAACAACTGCACATATTGCTATGTCTACATAAAACATTCATATTTATTTAAGATACTGTGGCCGCAAATTGTAGATAATTGCCAAGCGCAATCAATATTAATGCTCGGATGCATTTACAAAGAGCAAAAAGCTTCATTAATACATTGCGATCTTCTCTGGATATTTAGCGTATAGGCATTTAAAAAAAACTATGATTGCTCACACTTCGCCAATCGTAATGGATTTAATTGGTGAGACGTGATTTTCTTGTGTGCGTAAAGTGATCGCAAGCGATTTTCTTCTTTCAACCAAATATTTTTATTCACTCGCTCTTGCGATCTGTGTGTGTCAACAAGTTCGAGTTATAAGCTGTGCATTAATCAAGCGTCTTTTATACGGTTCACCATACGTATAATATCATCTAGCATTTTCAATGCAACTTTCGACAACGACAAGAAAAACGGCATTGAACATTAACTAGAATTTCGAGGAGGGAGTCAATGATTTTTTTGCGCATATATTTTTTCTCAGATTTTTTTGAAATATTTGCACGCACGACAAAAACATATATTTGTATCGTCGGAAACTGTACTTAATGACGCAAATCGTGGAAAATTATTGAAAGTAAGTAAAAAAAAAACATTGATCATTTAGCATTACATTTTATGTACTGCTATTGATTAAATAAATGAGTATTATTACAATTACATCTGATTTGCTTTTTGCTTCGAACATGCGTGGATTAATTTCCTATATTATTGTTTTTATGGCCATTTCATAAATTACACGCATTACATTCATTTAATAAAAATGAAATTTTTCCCCAATAAATTGTTGATACTAACATGGGCATGGTACTTTTTGCTCTTTTACACACGACATTAATAATTGCGACATCAGTGGAACTTGCATGCTCTATAGATAATGTTCAGGACGAAAATGTACACGGACTCTTGGAGTAGAGATCTGTCCAGAGCTGTTATCGGCACCTGAGAAGTGCGGCACCCGACGAAGTTGGTGCGCCCTTTTTCAGTTGCCGCACCTCATCCCATGTAAATCTCAAGTGCCGCACTTGAATAATTTTTTTATTGTTTTAACATAAGAATATTGTAAAATAATTTTTAGAAAAAATATTTAGAATAATTTTTACGTTAAACACTGACATTTCTAATGTTGTGAATTTAACAACAATGCATTCAAAGAATTTTGTGAATTACCCAACACTGTAATTGTGAATATTTCAGTGAATGTTGCGTGCTACACTGTATGACAGTTCACAATGAGAACGTTTGTTGGACGATTCACAAAATTCGTTGACATAAAGACATTTTGCATGCATTGTTGTTAAATTCACAACATTAGAAATGCCAGTGTTCAACATAAAAATTATTCTAAATATTTTTTCTAAAAATCATTTTACAATATTTTTATGTTAAAACAATAAAAAAATTATTCAAGTGCGGCACTTGAGATTTATATGGAATGAAGTGCGGCACCTGAAAAAGAGCGCACCAACTTCGTCGGGTGCTGCACTACTCAGGTGCCGATAACAGCCCTGGATCTCTCCTTAGTGTTGCCTCTCTATCGTTTGACAACTGGTTTTACTCGATTCGATTACACTCACCGAGCAAATCTATTATGGCAATTGAATTAAAACATAAAAACTGTAATACAAGGCTGTTTGATAATAAGGACACTTTCAGGACTTTATCATTGATGTTGATCCCGTGTACCATGATCGTTGAATGACGCATGAAAAAATATGTTCATTTAGTTTTGCGACGACAATTAATTTGAGGTTATGTATTACTTTTTGTGATTCACCCATTTGCGAATCGATCGCTTCAACACGGTGCCTTTGATCTTTGTAGTAAGCAGCAAACTTCGTCTTCTTTTGATCTGATTGTGAGTTTTAACGCTCGTCGTCGGTAGGTTATTCGATGGTAAAGGAATGTGATTCAATGGCATTTAATGTGACATGAACAAATTCTCTTGACGAATGGAGCTCATTGTTAATTTCTCCTTATAGAGAAGCAAATGATTGCGCATATGTGGCGCCATCTTATATTGTTGCGACAAACTAGTTCATTCGCCTATAGTCGAGTCTTGAACACATATAGGCGAATGAACTCGCTAGCCGCAACCATATAAGGTGGTGCTTTGGTCGCGGTCAAATTAGTTTTACACTCTTTCATTTCTTGATGTTGCAAACTAAATTACTGTAGAGCCAAGAGGCGAATTTATGATGTGGAGAAAGCAAAACCACCGTCGGTCAATCAAGCACGCTGTGACGATTACTGCGGCGTATCGGATATTGACAAATCGGCACCGTTGGCAACGAAGAAGTGATGCATAAGAACATGGTCAATTGTTGGTTTTCAGACAGCGAAGAAGAAGAAGAAACTGACATAAAGAAATTCGCAGGTGATGCTACCTGTACGCAGAGCTGTCAACGAACGTTCGTTCGTTCGTAGGCAAAAAATATTTTTATTTTGTCCGTTCGTTCGTAGAATTATATTGCGCTCGTTCGTTTGTTCGTAGAAAATCAAATGTTCGGATTGTTCGTAAGGTGTTCGTTCGCTCGTTTGTTCGTTCATTGTTCGTAAAAAATATAAAAATAATATGAAATGGAATGATTATTTTTATTAGTAGAATTCAAATTGGATTTAATTTTTGCATTGTAATTGTGTATCTGCAGTGTACATTGTACAAATTTATCAGAATAGATAATTTTTTGAAAGATTTTTCAATTTATTAATGCAACAGCACTCAAATCAACTGATTTTTGTTCTAAAATAATTTTTAAGCCGTCTGCTTCTAAAATATTATTTACAATGTGTTTTTTAACAAAAAATAACGTGACGCTTTTCTTTAACGTTAAATGGACGTGTATACCGTCATTTGTTTTTATATGTGAAATATGAAAAGTTTATGGAAAAAAGAATCTTGTGAACCGCGTGCACTTTAAATTGATTGTTTCGCCGGGGTTCCTAAAAATTTTGTCAATGAAGTTGCCAGCTGGCTGCGTGGCTTTAGGTCCGAACAAATTTTAAAAGAAAGGCAAATCAGCCACTACCAGAGATTGTGCCCAAACGAATCAGCAGACTTTTGGAGAAACAAACGAATGGCATTCAAAAATACATCAAAACACAGAGAATGAGCCCAAAATCTGAAAAACATGTGCAACGGTTTGTGCCATGTCTAATTACTTAAGTTTTCCATCAAATAAAAATTACGAAGATTTGGCCAATGTACTTGAAGTAGACACGAGCAAATTATTTGGTCGCCAATTTTCGCCAATTGTGACATCGGTGTGGGCCAAATCATTGATGTGGCAAAGCCGTTTTCACAAATAGTCTATGGATCGATCGATCAAAGCAACAATAGCTTAATCGAACTCTGTCTTAACGATGCACTGACAAAACTAAGGTTATGATTTTGACAATGCTTACATTCCAACGAAATTTGTGAAGTAGCCAACAATTGTTGTCATTGTGAATACGTACAATGGCATATATTGGAAGTATAAATTAAAACGTAAGGATTCGTATCTAACTTCATATCTATCACACATGCAATTGTTTGGACAGTGAAAGCTGTTTTATCTTAAAGAGCGTCAAAAAACCTACTAAAAAAATTTGGAAACTAGTTGCCGCACGAATTGAAACCGAGAGATGTTGAAAGGCGTTTTACCATCTGTGAAATGCTGCTCGACGCGGCGAACCAGTACCATCGCAAGCAAAGGAAGATATTCATGGTTTCAAGGTAATGCTCTGTGTTTGGTGGGATCAAAAGGGTATCGTGTATTATGAGCTGCTGGAACCGGGTGAAACAGTCACAGGAGATCGCTATCGACTACAACTGATGCGATTGAAGCGAGCATTGGACAAAGATCGGAAAGAATGGAGGGGAAAACACAACCGGTTAATTCTTCAACATGACAATGCTCGGCCACATATTGCAAATGTCGTCAAACAATACTTGTCGACAATAGGATGGGAAGTTCTACCTCACCCGCCGTATTCATCAGACATTGCTCCTTCTGATTACTACTTGTTTCGAACGATGCAAAACGAATTGGCAGGCAAACGCTTCACTTCTTCGGAGGAAATCGCAAATTGGGTCGGTTCGTGGTTTCGTTCAAAACAACAACCATTCTTTTGGCACGGAATCCATGAATTGCCTGGAAAATGGGAAAAAGTAGTGGCTAGCGATGGACAATACTTTGAATAAAAAAATGTGTACCATCCTCTTGAAATAAATGCACAATTTCAGTGAAAAATCCTTACGTTTTAATTTATACTTCCAATAATATGATTCAATGAACACATTTGATTAATTAATACAAATAAGTATAATTAATTAATATTATATTTCAATTTGCTTTTTCATTTCATAGATTGCATTGAGGCACGGGAAAACAGAGAAATGTTCGCTTAAATTTCATAAACGATGCTCCGGTTGAAATGTATGAAATAAATATTGAAATAAGCGGAAAAAATTACATTGTATGACTGGTTAGTATGCACGCTTTGTCGCCTGTGTTTCGATGGAAGCGATTCATAAATCACGAGATAGCGAATGACGTGACCATTGCGGATGAGTCAATAACGAAAAAAACTACAGAACAAGGTGCTCATTTGCAACTGGGGACCCATAACACAATATAAATCATATACCGTAAGTTATGATATTATGGTGCTTTTATTTTGCCATGCTCTTCTTACGCTGCACCGAACTTTAGTGTACCATTTAAAAAAAACGCATCTAGATATTGCAAACATTTCTAATATGTCTATTTGGTGTAACTATTTCTGGGCCATATGTGTTTTACAATGAGTCCGTCAAATGAAACGCTGAAAATTCCGAACACGCATTCAACCAATGTCGCTAATTTTATGAAATATTTCCGAAAGAATGTCAAAATATTGACGACAAAAAAAGAGAACCGCGAAAACCAACACGAAAATAAAATTGGGCACCAAATAATATTATTGTTGTGGTCAACGCAGCTAAGTAGTGAAAATAACAAAAATAAAACAAATAAAGACATGAACGAAAAACAATTGTATAATAAACCGCTTGTAATTGCGGTTTCCCTGTCAATGGAACAAGCATACATATGATAATATGATAAAATACGGTGACATTTACACACACTCTCTCACACACATACAACATTTCTTATGATAAGAAACAATTAAGGACATACAAGGTCTTAGTAAGTCATTTCTGGTGAGCGTATGAATCGTCATAGATAAATAAAAATAGGATTGACTTTTAGTTCAAAGTGAGAAAAAGTCCTTTGTAAGTTGATACGTTTTAGTATTCGCTGGTTGATAATTGCGCAACACAGCTGAGAATTTAGGTCAAAGTAAATAAATTGACAGATAGAAACGACAAAAAAACGCACAGAGCAATACTGAACGCACTGAACGTCAAAATAAGCGACAGACATAAATCACGCGAAGAAAAAAAACGATATGAAACAATCGACAACAACTCGTCGCTATTATCCGATGCGATTATTAGTTCTATGTAACTTGGTATAAGACGCACGTAAGTGCATATATGCGATGTTAAAAATCTTTTATTTATTTATTTATTTTTTTGCCATTGGTGCAATTGCAGTTTGTCGATTGACCGCTACCACTACTGCGTCACAGTATCGACGAGAGAGCGACGCATTGAGTGCAAGCAAACGTAAAAGTCTCACTTTTCTTCATTGTCGCTTTTCTAGTCGAGCTATATGTCCTTGGTGGTTTGTGTGTCGTTGTCGTTGTTTCTGTCGCTCGTGCCGAATTTATGCCATTTGCATTCTTACACTCAAACAAAGACACGAGCAAAAAGCGACAATCAATATTCGTAACACTCGCTTGGAATTTGGTAACTTTGCTGTGTAAATTCTTATTTTTGCCGCAATATAATACCAAAAACAATTGATAATTACTGCTGGATGAATAATACGTCGTGTTTAATGCAACGGCGTGAAAAACCTTCAAATGAAAAATGTCAAGCTGAGTGCACTGAAGAGTATTGTTTATAATTTGCATTTTTCATTGATTTTAAGCGTTGACGATTCAATGAACTGTCATTTAAATTAACTACGTACGGGTTTGATTGAATTTCATTTTTTCCCTCATTCGAGCTTATCTGCACAAAACTTGTGTTTGTATTGCGCACGATTGAATCGAAACATTGCCGTTCGGTATTTGTTTCATTCCTACATGAATCAGAATGAAAAATGTACGGAATGATCGGATAAAATATATTTAGCGTATACGCTACGAAATGAAAAAAAATTGCAATAAATTTCTGTGCATATGTTACGATATTTGATATACACGGTTTTTGAGCTGATTAAGCAATCAATTTATGATGTGCAATGCATTTCTTTGGTTTCAGTGTTCGATGTTGTTTTGACTAATGCGGAGCCGAGCTATCTATAGATTTAGAAAAGAATATATATAGACCGGATCGCACCGAAACGATTGTGATAAATTGTGCACTAAATCGGCTCGTCATCGGATCCACTTTTAGCATTAAAAAACTCTTTCATTAGTTACCACCTACGATTCCATTTGGTGCTTTAATTGAATTTTCCTTTGCCAATTGTTGCACTGAACTTAACAACGCGAACAGGAAAAAAATGACATTGGCCGATGATGTTTGCCTCGTAAGTTTAATTCTTGTTTTTTTTTTTTAAGAAATAAAATCAGTTCCATCTGAAGTCAAACGAAAAAAAAAACTTGCACACGCGCATCGGTGTCGATATTCAAATGCAAATTGTTTATCATGATTAACAACCATCAGCTATATAAAAAACATGGATCAAAACATGAGAATTGTAGGCAACAAAAAATACAACGATCTCCATATTCAAACAAAATTCATTTGCTGAGTAATATATTGCGCGCTTTATTTTATTACGCAAAGCGAAATAGAAAATAAGAGAGAAAGACACATGAAACACGCACACACACACACACACATCCACATCCATAAAAAAACAATAAAACAGCAAAATATAAACGGCGCACAACTAACGCTTTTTAAAATCATATCACATTTTGTGTGTTGTTCTCTCAAACTGACGATGAGCATGTTAAACGGAAATCATTGAAAACGACAACAACAAAACGCACAAAAAAATGTATTGGAAATGTTGTGGATAAATAAGGAAATTAAAACTGTATACCGGGTGCCCCATTTAAGTGGGCCCCATGCCAGGAGTGTAATTTTTCTTTTTCTTTTGGGGGTTCGTTAGAAATTCTTTGTTAATCTTATTGATCTCTATCGAACCCACGTTCAAAAAAATTAAAAATTTATTTCTGGTAGTAGTCTGCTTATGTGAGACACCCGGTATATATTTTGTTCAGTTTTTTTGCTGCACAAAGAGAATTGGAGTCTTTTACAATTTCAATAGATTTTTTTGTTTCGAATTCAATGAAGCTTGGCGTTATATTGTTTGAAAATAGAAGGATCGCGCCTCATCAAAAAGTTAAAATAGTTTGTGTTATTCTACGATTATCATTCAAATATAGAGAGAGCGAGAGGAAAAAAACAGCTTAATTTGATTATAAATGAATATGTGAAAAATTAGATGTTTTGCACGTACCTCGAACCATTTTTTCTGGTACTTTTTCACTGTAGAAATAACGCTGATATTGCTAATATAATTTTGGTGTGCTGGTTCGCTGCAGTTTGTTGCTTTTTATTCACTAGACTCTATATTCCTAGAGTAGTTGGTATTTTCTGTTTCTCTTTCTACGCTGTTGTCGATATTTACTTCACCTTGGCACCTTCTGCATGTATGTTCATTGTTCATCTATCCGTCTTGTCTTTTTAAATTGGTTTGTACGCTGTTCTTCGCTTATTCGACGAGATTCGATGTTTACATTCGATTAGATTGCGTCTCGTTTGCACATTTTAGTCTCTTTTTTGTGTCTTTCTGTATGAAATAAAATTGAAATGTTATTAAATAAATCGATGTTTCTTCAAATTGAAATTGTCGCTAATTTTATTTCAAACTAATTTTCAAATGTTTTTTTTTAATGACATAATTTCGCTTGGTAATGCTCATTCATATAGACCAATAATATAAATCTGTTTTTCAATTCATTAGCATTTACAATTGAATGAATCAAGAATGTCGGCGGCAGAGGGTGAGAGACACACACATAGAGAGATATAGGTGATATTCTATAATGTTATACACCTCAATAACTAACTTTTTATTGATTGATTGATTGATTGGCGCACGCGGTCAATCAATTGTGTGAAAAACTAATATTAAATAACATTGTTTTTTTTTTTAATAAATTCATTCATTTGACAAATGGGCTTTACTATAGATATGCGAAAACGAAATGCACACACACTCGGTGTGAGTCGGTGTGTATTATACGCGCGTAATGTGTTTTGTTATTTTTAAATTGTACTGATTCGATGTTCGGCTGTATCAACACTGCGTTGGCCACCGAATATTTAGCGAATACAAAGCGCTTTTATTTAAGTGAATCTCGTCGCGTTGTCGATGTGTAACATTGGTTGTATTGTCGTGTTCATTTCATTTCGTTTTATCGATAGAGGGTACATACCGAGCGTTCACGTTTGCGACATCAATGTGAATTTAATGTTTTGTCGTTGTATTTATTGGCATTGTAACCTCATCGCATTAACGCGAATATGACCGAACAACTCGGAACGAATGAATAGAAAAAAGAAGAAGAAGAGAGAAAAACGTTGAAGCCACGAAATCGTTGAACGAACGGCTAAACAAAATATACATGCGCGCTTAGATCGAGAATACGCTTGACTTGGAAGTAATAAAATATGATTTTTTTAGTGAAACAACGCGCGAGAGGGAGACGGGAGAGAGAAAAAAGTGAAAAATGTGCGCGCCATATACAATAAAATGCAACGTTGTATGCAATATTTTGTGTTATTGCAGTATTTCTTTTAACATCGACATTCGTTCCATTCGACGTGTCGATTCTTCTTTTTCTGTCGTTGAAAATGTTGAACGCAACACAGGTATCGCATATCAATAGCAAAGAAGAGTGTGCGACAGAAGCGCGTACGCAAATTATTATAAAACAAACAACCAGATGATATATTACATTTCTTCTTTCGGATTTGTGTGTCTCTCATTTCGATTGAGCTCGCGTACAATGCTCGCACTGTTGGCGTCAATGTGTTTCATTACTTGCCATCAAATTAGAATCCAAATATACAGTATTGTGCAAATGTGGATGGTTGGCACAATTTAAATACACATTCGATTCTGTGTGCTGCCAAATTGTATGGCTGACTGAGTGGCTGGCCGCGAATAAATTTTGATGTTGTATGTTTATCGACTCTTTTTTGTTCAGTCCATTCGTTATAAAAAAATCGAAAACCATTTTTTTTCGACGATTCGCATACGGCACACAAATGAAACCCACACATAAGATTCTGTTCATCTTGGCGCGCGCTCTCTTCAACAAACTCATAAACTTTTCTCTTTCACCAAATAGAAATGCTTTCTATGCACCGATGCACATAGCATACAGCTGATATGATTCTACACTATTGGTGCACTCGGTAATAAGCTCGTCCCCTTCTCCCGCGGCAAATTGCAATCCATTGCAAATTTCCTTGACCCGCAATTTCTGCATAATTTCCGATGTGATTTTCTTTTTTGTTCCTTCGTAATAATAGCTTGTGATGAACTATGTTCGATAGAGCTAACTAAACCAATGCGCGCGTACTATGTAAATTTGTATTCATGAAAATTGGTCGTTGTTTTTTTCATTTCATTTTATGTTCATGACTGTATGGCAACAATGGTGTCGTATAACACACTCAAACTATCGAAACATATTAGATTCTTATTACACTTGGAACCGATTTTTTCTTCTTACATCAACAAAAACTCCAAAAATTTATTTTTTCTAAATTAAAATGAAAGATCATTTACCTGTTATTGGATGAAAATTGTTTATGATTTTTCCTAGTTCATTTTCGATTCAATGCCATTTAGAGACAAAAAAAATATTGTTGTTCAACCATAACATGCAACCAATTTACACACGAGCTCACTTTTCGTTCAGCGGACACCATTAGAGACAGCGAGTATGAGAGAGAAAGAGAAATATATTTTTTTCGAATGAGATTTTACTTTTTCGTCGATACTAAATTTAAAAGTAAAAATTATTCTTTTTTTTTTTTTCACGAAACCGTGGAACACACAATGGTTTTATTTTATTGCAAATCGTTTTCTTTGGCGGCACAAAACGTTGGCTCCTCTTAACACACAATGCTTATGGAATCAACATCACACACAACAACAGCAAGTAAATTTTGATGTTTGTACGACATGAAGTGATGATAAAAACGACACACATCAAAAAAATATCACATTTACTTACTCTCTCACTCTGTAGTTGTTGTGCAAAGCGAATTCAATATGGCTGCGCATTCGAAACGCCAACGTCAACTTGATAGACAAATGCTGTTAAACGAACGGCAGACAAAGAAAGAACGAAAATATTGCACGGAACAGCTACAGAACAGCAGCAACTACACAAAAGCAACAAGCCATTCATAAAATGCCGCTCGGTGTATGGTTCAAGACAAACGTATTCGCTGACGCTATTGCGGCGAATACGTAGGGGAGATAGGGAGGAATACCTTTTTCGATTGCCGCTGTTCGCCATTTTCTCCGTCTGTACAATTTAAATGGAATTCAATTCGTTTTTTTTTTTTTTTCAAATTTTTTTTGTGCATTTCGATTTAGATGTTTATCATTTGTAATGAAAATGATGATATATTTTAAAAATAAATATAATTCAGTGGAAAATACTACGAATCATTTGCAATTAAAATCTGATTCATCCAATGATTCTTTTATGGACTTACCGAATATTTGCTCTTTGTACAATCAAGTAATGAATTAAAATATGCACTATTTATATCAACATTTTCTTTGTCCATTTTCTAAGTTTAAGCACTCATTGGTCACGAGGTGGCGTTGTTTAGTATGTTATTCAGAATTAATTCTACGACCAAAAGCGATTCCATTAGTTGCACAGACAAATGAATCTATTGTTCAAAATGCGTCTGGTGACTTACCATTGTTCTTGTGGTCTTTAATAGATTTTTAGTGTTGCCCGCACAATCAAAAGAAATAAGAACGCCAACAAAGTTTTTCTTTTATTCTCTAAGCTTCGAAATGAAAAATTTCATGATTTTATTTCAGAAAACGAAATACATAATACGTAGTTATAATAAATCTTATCATATTTATGTGTTATGAGAAAAATGAAAATTGTGTCATTTCTGATTAATATTTTACTTTCGGATTTGTTGATTTTAACTCAAAATTCACATCTAATTTGTAAGAAACATTTTCATTTTGTAATGATTTTCATCCCAACATTGTATGTGTATGTTTTATTTTTTATTTCTTCACCGTTTGTGATGATGATATTCTTTGTTGTTGTTAAAAAAATTAAATGAATAAAATTAAATCTTGTTAATCAAATGAATTTGCTCTCGTTTTGAATTCACTGGAATGAATTATATACGAAAACCAAGTGTTTTGGTTGGGTGTGGACAGAAAATTAAAAGATGTAAACAGTACAATAAACTGAATTATACTTGAAAAAAAAAATTACTACACAGAGTGTCAATACAGCTATCGTATTAATATGATGTAATGTTAAGAGTAATGAAAAATTGATGTTGTTCGCTTAAGCACGTTCGCCTCGGATACGACGAGCGAGTTGGATGTCCTTCGGCATGATGGTGACCCGTTTGGCGTGGATGGCACACAAATTGGTGTCTTCAAACAAACCAACCAAGTATGCTTCGGATGCTTCCTATAATGCACAACAAAAAGAACGAATTTAGTTCACAAATCGAAAATATTCATTTGATAAACAATATTCTTTAAATAAAATTTGAAAAATTCTTAAAATTCAATGAAATATCAAAATAAAAAAGAACTAAAACTGAATCA